CCTTACAAAACGAATTTGTTGCATAGGATTTAGTTAGGCCGGTTATGTTAGGTCTGGAGTTTGCTGTTTGATTAGGAGCTTCATATTGCATAGGATTGGTGTTCGCAGCTTCATCAGGAACTGTCTTTTGTGTATGATTTAGTTGGTCAGGTTATGTTAACATCCAAAGATCCATACATTCAAAGGTCCATCTATTCCTGTTTTAAAAAGCCATCTATCTAAAGATGCATGCATACATTGATCCACAAAATCAACCACATTGGATCTTGGTTAGCCATATTGGATCCGTCGTGTCGAATTTGCAATTCTGAGTTTGGATTCCTGTTCAGCAATCCCCAAAACCCCCCAGGATCCAATTCGGGATTAATATGTTGAAAATCTCGTCCGCCATATGGGATCCGCTATGTTGAATTTTGCAATTCTGAATTGAAATTCGTGATAAGCAAACACAAAAACCTTTATATACCAAAGTTTTCACGATTCTATTCATTTCTTGCAAACCTCGATTTCTGGCCGATTTTTTTGAGGTTAGAAAAAAATGAAGTGTGCTGTATGATTTCTAATGGTGGATTTGGATTCAGCGAATTTTTTTGTAGTTTTTTCTCATACTTCTTCGTCTATTTTTGATATTTTTGACCTATTTTTTGAGTAGAAAAAATGTGACGTGTTAGCGCAATTCTGACAGTGGATTCGAATTTTTCAACCACATGACTCTTTTTTTTGTGTGGCTGTATAATTATTCAAAATAAACATTAAAAATCGTACATATAAGTAAAGAGATCTGTTTGTTTACATATTTTACTTAGGAGTGTTTCATTAGGTAGCCTCCTTTCGAATGGAGGAAATGAAGAAAATTATATATGTATAAACATCAAACTTTTGGAAAAAATTAAACAATTTATAATTAAATATAAAAATAAATTGTTAAGATATTGACATGAAAAAAATAGACAATATATTTAATAAGAAATGTAACTAGACTGATTACTATAAGAGCTCTTTCGTAGATTAATAAAATTCATAGTATTATTTATAGATCCTTGCTGACAGCTACACTTGATAAATTTACAAAATTTTGCTTGTTGTTTACATTCGAAATATAGCTCCGCAGTCAACAAAATGAATCCATTGCTAGCGGCATACATGTTCACTGACTGTGTTTTACAATTATTGTCTCTTATTTAAAATATACATTTTGTGACAAATGCTAAAAATCCAATTAGATATGAGTTGTAAAGGAAAACTGTTTTTCTCCTCGTTAAGGATTTGTACCTACATGATACTTATATTTGAACAATGAATATGAAGAGTATTTTTCGTTTTGTATTATTATCGTTCTAATAAGTACAAATGTTCTTCTCTTTACAAGATTTGTACCTATAATATTTATATCTTAATAATAAAGGCACCTATTATGTACCTTGGTAATACTGTTTGCTACATCATGAACGTAAGGCAGGCATCCTATTTGTTGAACCATATTAGAATTTCAACGCCACTAAAAATAAGTCGAGTCATTTAAAATAATAACTGAAAAAACAGAAGCTACAGAAAAATATTACGGACGCCACTGCATTCTATGAATAAAACTGAAAAAACCAATTTTCAAACAAACAAACAATTTTCGCCAATAAAAAAGTTCATGACAAAAAACGAAATGCAGTTCTTATCAACAACAGTTTTTATCGATAATTGAATCGGTAACAAACAGTCCATCGAGAAATACGAGAAAGCCCCCAGAACTGTAAAAATTGACTACCCTGTATATTTTAAGAGAAAATATTAATCACTAAAAATTAGAAATCGTGCGAAATTGGTTGCAGAATTATTACAACCACAATTTCCATTTTCAGGCTTAACGAGAAAAGCGGAATTGCTGAGTTGGCAAAAGTTAGATGAAAAGGACGAATTAATTGTACTGGAATATTACGAACTTACTGTGGGGAGGCATGGCAGGACGATAAAAATATTAAGAATGGAATTTCATCAAGCAAAACATTATACGACATTTGTTTTATCCAGTAGAGTCACAGATACAGGGTGATTGGTAAGTCGACGTATTCCTTTAGGGGTGCGGTTATGCAGCTAATTTCTACCAAATAAACCTTAATATTTAATATAAAAACACAATAATTTTGGAGATATCTGATTTATACATTTATTTTAAACAGTATCTTTAATATTTTGCCTAAAATTAAATGGTCAAGGTCATGGTCAAGGTCACCATTAGATGTCCCCCTCAAAATCCTACAACTTTTATTTGAAAATTTTTTTCATTAAGCCCTTAACTTAAGAGATATTCACGTGTATTTTTTAAAATGGGACACCCGGTATAAGAAAAAATGTTTGAAATTAATCCAGATACATCTACATGACCATAGGTCCGACTCGAAGGAAAACCCTCGGAGATGAGGTCCGCGTCCAGGTTCCGGTGCGCCAGGTGTTCAGGAGGTCGTTTTCGACGTGAAATTTGGATTCAGCGCCCCAAAAAACGCCCCCACAATGATTTTCGGGTAGTTTTTGGCAATCTTGTCAGGAAAACTTTCGAAGATGACGTCCACGTCCAGGTTCCGGTGTACCAGGTGTTTGCCGATGCCATATTTGAATTCAGCGACCCAAAAAACCCCCGGGCGCCGAGTTTATCTCCTTCCCCGCGTGAATTTTGGGAGAGTCCCACGGAGATGACATTCATCGGCGTTCCTGAGCTCCAGGTCGGCTGTGGGTCAATTTGAACATTATAATCGTGATCAGCGACCTCGAAAACCCCCGGGAACCCGATTTGGGCCAGTTCTGACTCTTATTTACAAAGTTATTAAATCTTCCAAAAGCCGTCTCAAAAAATGCATTTTTTGAATGCATTTTTGCCTGCAGCAATGCAATTTCCGGTTTGTATAAGATACAAAGTAAAAAATTTTGGAAGCGAATGCAAAAAACCGCATTCCGATTCATCTTAGTGCAAAAAATTCCTAGGTTGAGTGCTTCATTGCCTCGACTAATATATGCTTATATGTTTTCTACTCCAATTTACCATTAATTAATTTTTTATAAACATTTTTATGCAAAAAACGCATTTTTTTTAGTTTTTTTGCTTATAAAACCTAAACCAATTAAGCAATCTGAATGCCATAAAAAGACAGTTTATAGAAAATTGAAATACGAATTAAACGAGAGGTCGATAATTAAAAACGAAAAAAAACTCGGAAGGATCGGAAAATGTAGCTTTTTTTTTTAATTCATGACTCCGCCATTTCTTAAGTTGTAGAGCTGAACCTGTGCACAAAAGTAGTGAATTATATGTAGGTACTTTAAGTGAGCACAAAACAGGCACTTTCGGACCATTAGTTTTGGCATAATTATTGGGATTTGAATTTGTTGTACTATTTTGCAAAGTTTCTGGATGCGTTGAAAGTGGTCCTATTTTAATTTTTCAGCCCGATTTTACTGTTACTCAAAATCATAGACCTCGTAAACTATGTGGAGAAAAAATAAATTTTCATAGTCAGAAAAGAGGTTAATATTAATATGATGGCACCAACATGTTTATACTTTTCGCATCTTTCTGAAAATAATGACCAAGTAGAGTTGTCTCTGATGATAACATATTTGATTATATTATTTCCTCCATCCTCAAAATAAAAGGTCTTTTTAACGTCAAAATTTTGCCCCCTTAAATGTGTCACTCTTCAAATTATTTTTTATCATCAAACTAAAGACATTATAACAGTTTCGACTGAACTGTGCTTATAATATATGCTTCAGCAAAACATCTCTTTAAATAATATGTTGAAAAGGAAAGCATTGATATAGTTTTGCAAAGCAAGATAATATGAACTATTTAAAATAACTACTTTAGAAGAGCTTGCAGTAATTTTAACTGATGGAGCTTACGATATGAGGAAAATAAATGGAGAAATGCATAAAGAAAGAATTATAGAAACTGTTTGGAAAATTGTAATTATAAATATCTGTGACTTTTTTCTATTTACTACATTCCCTCGTTAATACTTTCAATTTGTACAGAAATTACATAACAAATAATGCTTATGTTTGAGTTAAGACAAAGAATTCTTCATAGCATAAGTGTAGTTTTACTAGAATTAATATATCTACCATTGACCTAGTAGTTTATAATAGCTGTTTTACATTGACAATTTATTCATGAATAAATTGACAAAGTTCTCCATGAATTAATTCACGAATTTATTGGTAAACAGTGTGGTTTTACACTGCTACAGACTTTGTCAAGTTTTTTGACGTATGAATCAGTTCTACCAATGAATCAAAGAAGCAAATATATTTCAAAAATGTCACCTTTCCACTCATAATTGTAGTGATACAACAGCGGTTGACCGTTCTGACATATATTATATAAATATTAGTTTTTGTAAGTAACAAATCAGTAGAAACAATGTAAAATTAGTACGATGCCACACAATTATTTATGTATTCCAATAACATAACCTCATTACTGATCTGAGGCTGGAAATCTGTTGCGTTGGTACTTCTGAACTTCACAAAGAAATTGACGAAAATTAGAACATGCTCTAATTCGTCAAAAACTTGATGAATAAATTCATGAAGTTATTTGACAGCAGTTTTGGTGCATTACACTTGTCCAATTTCTTGATGAAGCGACTTCATGAATTAATTGATCAATAAATTGTCAATGTAAAACAGCTATAAGGTCTATGCTCAAAATTTACTCGGTCATTTTATTGAACGCCAATACTAACCCAACTACTTACAACCAATTTCATTACAAAGGTAAAATTTTAGTGGAAAATTTAACTTTGAATGCCAGTATCTTTTTTCTGCAAAATTGTTATCTGAACAAAAGTGGCTAAATTCTTCCCATTTCTTCCTCAGAACCTGCCTCTGAAGTATGTAATATTATTCTCCAAGCACTCTCTATAAATTTAGTTGTCAGAAATATTGAACATGACAGATGAATGAAATTTTCTCTTCACAACTTTAAGCAACATTGACAAAAGTTCCGCAAGATGCGGATTCCACATATAATAAATAAAAACACTTTTAATGAATACAAACCATCTCCAGAGAGCTTGGAGCTTATTGGAGAGGGAGATAGAACACTTGTATCTGAGAATTTTGATTGGAACAAGGACCATTGTCCCTCATTAGTTGACCTTTGTGTACAAACTATAAGTAAATATTTCCATAGAAATCCAATATTACATAAACTGCCTTGTGTGGAGCATGATCATCTCCTAGAAATTGTATCCTGCGATCTACCACTGATAATTGCAGTTACATATATACAGGTAAGTATCACTATCAGCAGAAGACTAACAGTCAGCATAACTGGACTAAATATTTATAGGACGAATATTATTGGCAACGAAGATATACCACACAGTTTGGTTTGATACATAACAGGAAACCCCTAGACTGGACTTGGAAAAGTTTGTACTTGGAGCGCTCTGTGCAGGAAATTCTAGAACAGGCCCAACCGCAATACAACGATGAGGAAACTTTTGAGGAAATTTTGTCGATATCCGCTCCTTATGTACAAAGATTAATTATCACTCAATTACAAAGTTGGAAACCACCACTCACAATGGAGAAAGAAGATATACCTGAAGAATATCCCACAGATCATATCAACTTCATTTTTATTCTTCGGAAACTTCCCCTTATCAGAGAATTTGATATTGTATATGGTAAGGAAAATTATCGCAATTTGTATACAAAAAGAGACGGATAATAACTAAGAATATAGAGGAAAAGTGGTGATACGAAACACTTTGTTTTTCGTCATTATGCTGAAGAGTATCGCAATTATTATAATTCATTTTTTACCGCCCGTCTTCAATATATTTTGCTGTTCCAAATACATAGGATGAACAGATCTTTTTATTAATTAATAATAAGTAATTCACTGACTTTTCTAATTTTATTTATAATTTCTAAGACGACAAAACATGTTTCAAAGTTTTGTAGATTTTACTGAACTACTCCAAATTAATTTTTCCAGGTGTGAATTCAGCTGGGGAGGAGTTTAATTTGAATATGTTTAAAGTGTCTGTAGCAGATTGCCAGAGGTTGGGAAGGGCTCTACTAGACCTTAATTATTTGACAATATTACGTATTCACAGAAGTAAAATAGAATACTTGCATTGCCAAGCCCTTATGCAAAATCTTATAAAAAACCACACCATCGTAGAACTAGACTTATCTCACTGCGAAATAGGTGATCAAGGTGCTTTGTGTGTTGCTAACGTTCTTCAGTGCCATCCGTCTTTGAAGATATTAAATCTGACTGACAATAATATTCGAGAAATTGGAGCAGAGGGTTTAGGCTTTGCTATGGTCCAGCCTGGTTGTGCAGATTTGGAGTACTTGAGTTTAAGACTGAATCCTTTAGGATCCGAGGGCGTAATGTGTATCCTAAGAGCACTTGTTAGGTGTACCATACCTACCGCGCTGTCCATGAGTGGGTCTCTCTTTGAGGGAGATACAGCAGAGAATATCGCCTTGATGCTTAAAATGAATGATACCCTGAAAAGATTAGAACTCAGTAGTAACTGGATTGGCGAAGAAGGTGGAGAGGTTAAATATCACTTTTATGTAACACTATTACTAACTTCAACATAAGGCATTTTTCTTTCTCAAGTCACACCCAGAGCGGTTTCGACATGTAAAATGTACACGGTAAAAGGTGCTCAAGTTTATCATTTGCTTCATATTATAGTGGAAAACAATTATTAGATTCGATAGGCGTGTCTATTTTCTGAAATAAAACTCGGAATAAACAAAAAGGTGCTTTTGTTTTTCTTTCGAGTTAGTAGAAATTTTTATTGGAATTTGCAATAGAAGAAATTACTGGTGTGCACCATTACAGTTTAGTATACGGTAACATGATGATAACGGCCTTCAGGCTATGGCACGTTATCAAGAAAGATTTTCTCAGCGTCGGCAACCTAATAAGAAAACTTTTCACCAGTTTGTCAACATTTACTGACTGGAGTGAAAAAATTTCGTAGAAAGAGAGAGAGATACAGGAAGATTCAACAAAAAATAGAAATCTTTCAATCCGCTATGCGGTCCAAATTATTTGTATTTACTCTACATTCCAGTTTTCAGCACATAAAGGATGCAACAGAGAATACATTTTTTCCCCAAAAGTTGAAATACCATGGAGAATGCTCTAGTTATGGTCTCATGTTTTCTAAAAAATTAATTTTTGGATTTACGTTATTATTTATTGTAAACTAAAGTCAAAGACCAGGTCCGTGCAAATCGCCCATTGTCAGGGAAATTGGAGAAGAGGTTTGCATCTCAATTGGGTTGAAATTTTGATCGAAAAATTAAACATGCAGGAAAGTTTGTTCCTCGTTCGATGACAACAACAAAAAGAAAATCGTGTGGACATTCGTTTTTGAACAATCCAATGAAACATTAATCCAAAGGATCATAAGGGGAAACGAAAGCTGAGCTTACGGCTACGACATTGAGACAAAAGTTCAATCATCACAATGGATTGGCAAAGATTCTCCACGTCCCAAGAAAGCACGTCAGTCTCGATTCAATGTCAAAGTGATGCTCACTGTTTTTTCGACATTAATAGAATTGTGCGTTTTAAATTATTTCCTCAAGGAGAAACAGTGAACTGTGTGTACAAAACGTTTTACAATAGTTCCGTGAAAAAATCTGCAAAAAGAGACCAGAGTTGTGGCGAGTTCTGAAACTAAAGTCAGACTATTGATGACATCAAAGCAAATTTGTCACAGACTTTAAAGGCTATTGTTAAGGGCAAATGAAGCTATTCAAGACTGTTTCGCGAAATGCAAACATCGCTTGGAAAAGTGGGTGAATAGGAAAGGGAAGTACTTTGAAGAAAAGGACCAATAATATAATATAAATTTAATAAGTGTTGAAAAAAATTTACTTGGGTTATTTTTTAACAGACCTCGTATATAACTCGGGAATAGTTCCAGTTCTCAATAAGTTTTAACAACTTTGATTATTTATTATTAATTTTACGTGCCATTTTGCAGTTTCAATGACTTTGATTACTTATTGAAAACACGTATTATACTTACCACCATAACTCCAAGTTGATCTCAAGTTTATATAAAATTGCTTAATTTACTTCACAGGCACTTCTTCAGGGATTAGAAGTGAACACCACCTTAGAATATTTGGATATCAGAGATACAGACGTAACCTCGGAGCAAATGAAGCAAATAGAAAAGATTCTGATGAAAAACAGATGTGAATTACATCAACCTGGAGAAGAAATTGAAGAGGGCATAGGTGAGGAAGAAGTTGAAGAGAAAGTGGTAAATTATAACACAAATGAAAGTCCTGAGCAAGCTCTTGAATAAATAAATTATGTAATGGTTAATTTGATTTTTAATATTCCCTTCAAGACTGAAGGTCCATTGAACAAAATAAACATTTACCTTCCGCATTACTTTTAGATTAGTGCAATTGACAGTGACTAAAGAGCGAGAACAATAATACATTTTCGGATAGAAATTTTTTTCTATAATTTGCCGGATGCGCCAGTAACAAAAAAAGTAAATGCTTACTTCCTTGACCTCAAAGCATAACAAAAAATAGATTTTGAAGACGCAATTAGAAGTAAGAAACTAGTATAGAATTTTTTGTAGCTTTTTCCTTGGCAAACATTTCTTTTGTCAATAAACATGAGCTAATTGCGTATGTACAAATTATTACTATATTTATGGTATGAATGGTTATGTAACTCATAATTAAGTAATTTCCTACTAATTTCATGCCATATCTAATTCAACGGTGTGGGTTAATAAGAGCTAAAAATCAGTTTTAACAAAGGGAAAACAATGCTGAATTTTAAAATGTTATTACCTAAAGTAATTAAACTGCATGATTGTTTATTCTGAACATGAAACAGATTTAGTAAAATCATTGTCACTAGAAATAAAAATGTAAAACTAAAACAAAGCTATGAATAGTACCTCGCATGTGCAGTAAACGATATATGTATAAATAAAAGATACCTAATGGTGTATTTACATCAATAAAATGTGTAACGTTTTATCACTGAATGTTATTCTACAATGAAATGCGAACCGTATAAGCAAATTTGATAAAAACCCTTTATATAAGTTTTTGATTTTAAAAATTTTAATTCAACTTGTGAAGTACCTACCAAACTATAGACGTAACTCATTTCTGTTTTTCTATTCTAAATGAAAGGAGGACAGTAGTATGCTGTTTTATTTAGTTGAGCTTCCTATTAATAGGCGGTGCAATTAAGGCAAAGTTGTTTGAGGTTACACTATGGGCTGTCTAGCGGCGAGGAACGAAAATTACGAGAAAGTAAAAAAAAATCAATTTTTACTGTGGAATTGTGATAAGTTGTCTTATTTTTATTATCCTTCAGGATTATACACTTACATAATGGAATCGGATTGAGCGACGATTCTTGGGGGCTCCATTTTTTTGTCTACAGTTCTGGAAGATTAGTCGGGTGCTCACCTTAAAGGGGATTTCCGGGGGCGTTTCTCCCTTCACGCTAATCTCAACGGACGCTTAGTCTAGACGATGTTGATGCTGTCGCTCTTTCCTCCGTTGAAGACGTCATAGCTTGGTCTTGGAGTAATAGTCCACGCTCTATTTTGTACTTAAAGACGCACTGACACTACGATATGTTTTAGTTGGTGTTTTGTTTTTTTTTTGGTTAGGTTTTCGACTGAACCTTTGATTTTTGTACTACGCACTTGTTTCTATGGAACACTGTCGACTATTGTGTTTCTGTTTCACTGTCTATGGCGTGCTGGGCTAGAGTAGTAAAGTGTGAGTGTGAGACCTCCTTAGAGAGCATGTGGGAAATTTTAGGAGTTTGATTTGAATTTGTCTCCTTGGAGGGCTTGTGTATGTATGGCAGCTTTAGGAGCTGTGTAATCCGTAGGATCCTCACCGCAGAGTGGACAACACCTGGATGGTGTGCTTTGGGAAGCAATGGGAACGGTGAGCTTGTAAAATTTTTTTGGAGAAATTTTTAATTCACTTTTGATTTTTATAAAAAAATCTGGGATTTAGGTAAGTATTGCAATTTTCGTATTAATAAACAATAAATGAATATATGTAACACTTGCATATGTATGAAAGCTTAAAAAATTTGGAGCATATAACATGTACTGGCCAGGATCTGACACTGGGTCTGGAAAATTTGTGTTTGTTTCCATTGTGGATTGTGGGCGTCTCCAAAGAGTTGGCGGGAAATTTTCGAAGGGTGCGAGGCGCCTTCCTGCATTTTGATGGTGATTGTGGCTGCGAGTGGAATAATTCCGAAACTTTTGAAAACATGGACGGAAATCGCCACAGTAGCATAGTCGGTCGAGTGTGCGGTAACAAGCTTTTCTCTGCCAGACTTCCTATTCTAGTCCAGGTTCGATCCTTGGCATCGGCACTGGCAATGTCGACGGATAATGGATGTTTGTCCGCGTTTTTTCAAGTATGGTCCCCTTCCGCAACCTTCGGCTTTGGATTTGAGGGTTGTCTTAGTGGTGGTGGTGGTGTGTTTAAATATGGTTTCCCGCTCTACGTTCTCCGATATGCTCAGTAGGTCGTCTACGGATTCCTGTTATTTAGACGGGATCAGCGGATTGTATAGAGTGTTTCGAAATATTGATTTTTTCGAAACTTGAGTGAATTTCGGATTGCATACTACTACAGTAGCATCTATATGAATATGAGCTCCAATCAAAATGTATAGGCTATGATTCTGTCAAGATACCAAACAGTAAACATACCATTCTACCATAATCGTTGACGTACCTACCTACTGATGATCTGCGGGTATACCACCAATGCCTGCATGAAACAGAATTAAGGCCTTGCTCCTAAAGGCGGGTGTTAAACTTGCGAGCAATAATTATAAATAAAACCGAGCAAATAATACGAGCATGTTCGGCTGTATTTAGTGTCGTGATTCTGAAGTCAAGCAAGCCCATCCAGTAGTTTTGAGTTTGAGCACATATGTCAACAGATCATCAACGCTCGCGATGAATCAACAGCTGTTGCTAGTGGCAGCGTTTAAAGTGAAATAGGAAAAAATGCATGAATGAAAATCAAAGAATGGCTACTGAAAAACGTTTTCTCATCATTTCCATAAATATGAAATTTTCGATGTTTTTATAAATTCGTGAGTAAATTCAAAAAGTAAATACTGGGATATCTGACGGTTTTCGTCGCAAAATCCACGCAGACTACGTTTTTGCACAACCTAGTCATCGTGTACGAATCAGGCTTTTGTAGATATTTTGTTCGGCAAAAATATAAATTTGTGGGTGGTTTAAAAACAATCTTGTGACGTATACTTATTTTACTAAATTCGACCATATTAATATAAATCGGTGAAGAAAAATTTATTCGCTTCAAATTTGTTTTCTATAAAATCGTCTGTAATGCACTTCAATATAGCGATATACGCAGTTTTGTGTAGTCTCTGCTTATAAATTAAAATAAATAATTACTTCCCTAATAAGTTATCTTTATAATTCAAATTTAATATAACTTTTTATTCATTTATTTTTATTCTTCAACAATTGCAAACTGGTCATTTAAACCGGTATAAGGTTGAAAGAATAATTTTTTTGTTCATAAGATATGTTTTATCTTCACACACCGTAAATTGAACTTGTCAGGTGTGGATCGAAGTAACAGAACTAGGCTGCGACTGCGAGTGCGAACACTAGAAGAAATGGTATCTCGCTGCTAAAAGTCGAAGAGGACTAGGTACACCAAGGTCCGGCATTGAGGCGCAATACCAAGGAACAGCCTGAATTACAACACCGAGAGCACAGCATTGTTGAAAGCTATTGTCTAGAAATAACATTTTTTGCTTTACTTAATCATTTTATTTAGTTTCTAGAACCACTGAAAACTATTCTTTAAACATCGGTATCTACTAATGAATATTTAACACTTATTAAATTTTGAATCCATTTTTAAGGATAAGGTTCACCTGGAGTTTGTTCCATGTAAAATATAGGGAAATTGTCACCCCAAAGTCCTAGTCCAAGCATTATAGAGAAATGCTTACATAAATTATTACCTGGACGAAAAAAATATCACCGTATAGAAAATTAAATTTTAAATCGAGTTTCTTGTTCTTTAAACTCGATTCAAAATGGCGAACCTGGTTAAAAAAAAAATCAAAGTTGCAAAAAACGGTTTTTCTAAAATAACTAAAAAAATATATCACCGATCGAAAAATTTTAAATGAGAAAGTTGTAGATTTTAAAAAGATCTATCTACTGATTTTTTGTAAGTATCGACTGCTTTGTTACTTTTCGAGATATATCGAAAAAACCGTTCAAAATCTTCTCTTTTCTCTTCTTCTATAACTCGTTTACATTTACGTTCTATACTTGCTATTTACTGCAAGCATAGCCCGCGGCAAGCCAAAAAAGTACATTTTTGAAAAATTTACAAATATTAATTATTTTTCGATATATCGATTTTTTGAAAAAAAGGCGCTCTCGAAAGTTAGCTAGATCTTCTCAGCGGATAGCCCTACAATGATGATTTTTGGTTTATTTTCTTCGTAAAGAGTTATAATATGATGATGTTATTGACGATTTTATTAATTTTAAGGATCAACAAATGACTTTGAAAAAGTTGCACTTTTTTTGGGTATGTTTTTTTCAAATAACTATTTTTCAATTTTTATTTTATGAAAATGACTTTTAAAGAAAGAAACTGCTGACATTTTTTCACGAATTAAAAAAAAAATGTTTTTCTACGACCTTCTGAAGCCGAGATAATTTTTTTATTTAAAAAAAAAATTGAAGACGCAATTAACATTTTACAGCGATGCGCTTGATGGAGGTTAATATTGAATACTTATATTTCCAAAAAAAAATAGTAGGATATGATTACTTGATCTTTAGTATTAGTAATTGACAAATAAACTGAAGCGTGCAACCGCTGAGTGCGTCAGCTGGACCGGACGGAGAAGTAGTGAGAAGCGGCGCGCGCTCGCTCTGAAATATTTTCGATATATCTCGAAAAGTAACAAATCAATCGATACTTACAAAAAATCAGTCGATATATCTTTTTAAAACCTACAACTTTCTCATTTAAAATTTTTCGATCGATGCTATATTTTTTTAGTTATGTTAGAAAAACCGTCCCACTAATTATTTTTCAGTTTCCGACATGTTTCAGAAATGTTTCCATTTTTCTTGAAACGTTTCATAAAAAATCCATGCAACGTTCTCGTGACGTTCTAGAAGCCCAAGATGTCCTCCCCAAAATACGTTTCCGATGAAACGTTTAAAAAATTGGTTTCAGTAACATTCTTTTTATGTTCCATTTATGCCCTCGATATTTT